AGACCCCCCCCCTCAAATATGACGTCATAAAGCTCTGCCCCCCCCCCAAAAAATAAAACATGCTTCAAATCGCTTTAAACTATTGTCATTGAAGTGCGTATTTAATGTGGCGCTGCACTCTGATGTTGTGGGAGAAAACATTTATTAAAAAGTCTATTTAATTAAGTATAACGTGTTGTCTATATTTATTTAAAGTTGCGCATTTTGATGTGACGTCACATTTCTCAACCCCTCCCCCCCCCCCCTGTCATCGTCACTTCATCGTCACAAATGTCTGACCCCGCCCCCCCCCAGGTGCGTGACGTCATTTATGGACGGCCCGATATCCAAACCAGTCTCCAATACACTTCAACACGCATTCAACAGCTTGGCGAAGTATGGTCAAACAGCCCTCGTGACCGACACGGCACGGAGAGGCATTCGTTCAGCAGTGGATTGACAAAGGTCCGTAATCAGTAATATTTAAAAAATACTTTTTTTTTTAAAAACACACTTTAATGAAATGTACCGTACTAGTAGTAATGTAAGAACTCCACAACTCCAGGAAGTGGCCCCGAAGCTTGCCATAACGTGGCCAATTAGACCCAAGCGGGAAACATAACATTATAGAAAATAATGTTTTAAAATGTTTTTACATTTTTTTTCATACTATTGTCATCAGTATGACACAAGTATATCGAGTTTGCACTCGATACCACATCGGGAAGTGGGTTAAAATTGAGTTACAAGATTTGAGGATGCAGCAACAACAGGCAAGAGTGATTTAAAGCTTTCGTGACTGCAAGGATTCATCTTCTTTGGTTCTTTCGGTAAAGTCACGTAGAATGAGAATAAGGTAATAAATTGAAAAAATAAAATAACACAATTAAATTCTCAATTTATTATTTTATTCTCATTCTACGTGACTTTACCGAAAGAACCAGAGAAGACAAGAGTGAGTTAAATAAAAGCGTGTAAAAATAAAACATTATTATGCACGTGGCTCGGGGAAACAAGGGGTTAAAAATATAGGCGGCTCCAAATGTGTGGGTGAAAATGAGATACTTTTGAATTGGGTTTGAGCGGAGCAGATGATCGGATGTCAAAAAATGAAATCGGTTTCAGACAAATAGGGCCGTGGATGGCAATTCAGGGGCGCTGTGGTAAAAGTTAAAGCGGACTGCGACGGAATCACCGATCTCGCGGATATTAGCCAATCACACGAAGGGGAGGGAGGGGGGGCGTGTCACATCACTACTCGATCCACGGATCGATTGTGCAAAGAATCGACATGGCGATTAACACGCACATTACAATTAACACGATGTTTTTTTTAATGGATCGACTCAATGGAATCTATCACAGTTAATCCCAATTAGCGATCCACAATGCCCAATGAATTGGACAGCTACGCCCACTTTATTCCATATACGGGCAAATCTCTGATGGGTGATTTTGTCGGGTGTACGATTTTATGGTATGATAGCGCCACGGCGGTGAGATGTCAACTACCTCGCCTGGTATACAGGAGGTCGTGGGTTCGATCCCGACCCTGACGCCTGCTGCTGTATATTTGGAGTTTGCGTGTCTCTCATCATCACGGTGGCTAGGAGATGTTAACTACCTCGTCTGGTGTGCAGGAGGTCGTGGGTTCGATCCCGACCCTGACGCCTGTTGCTGTGTATTTGGAGTTTGCGTGTCTATCATCATCATCATCATCACGGTGGCCAGGAGATGTTAACTACCTCGCCTTGTATACAGGAGGTCGTGGGTTTGATCCCGACCCTGACACCTGCTGCTGCTGTATATTTGGAGCTTGCGTGTCTCTCTCTCTCATCATCATCATCACGGTGGTGTTGAGATGTTAACTACCTCGCCTAGTGCTGCTGTATATTTGGAGCTTGCGGTGTTTTCCCCGTGGTAGCGTGGAATTTTCGCCTGGGTCCTCCGGGTTTTTCCCTCCACATTTAGAATCATGCATTGAGAGTATTTGGCTGATATAAATGCCCACGTGATAAGCCACTTCGTTGAGCTATCGTTTGTGGCCAAGTCGCTCCTGAAACAGAGCTATATAGCTCAGTGGGCCTTACCTGGATAAATAACAGTTCATCGTATGTGAGAGCCGGCCTCCATCAGCTGTTGGGCTACAAAGGAAGAGCCGTAAACCCAATGCTTCAACTGCCCCGTGGTGACTTACATTTACTGCTAGATGCAGCACAAACGTGTACGCTGCGCGCCTACTAGGTGTGCGAAACACAACGCTTGTAGAGTCCGCTAGGTTTTCAACGTTGCCCTTGTCTGGCCTCCACGAGGCTTGCCGCAACAAGGTCAGCCTCCTGACCAGGGCCGGATTAAGGCACGGGGCGGCTTTAGTGGCCGCAGCCACAGGGGGCCTCCGCCAGCTATAGGGCCTCCAGAGATGAAGTGAAAAGTGATTTCGTTTGCAAATGCTGAACTTGTATTTGTTGTTAGCCTTGTAAAAAATAACATTTATTTTTCCTTAACTTTGTTTTCCCTTTGAAAATATTACTGGGGGCCTCATAGTGCCTGTAGCCCAGGGGGCTTACAAAATCTTAATCCGGCCTTGATCCTGACCTGTAAAGCCCTGCACGAGGACGCACCCAGCAACCTCGAAGATATCCGCTCTCCTTTCCGCCGCTGCCGACCGCTTGGGTCGGCCGACGAGCGATCGCTCAACATCCCCAGGCTGCGACTTACACACTTCTGGGGGCCCGTTCCTTAGCTTACACGCAGGGCCGGATCAAGGCTATGAAGGGGGCCTAAGGATAATAGGAGAGAAGGGCCTAAATATGGATTACATATTGCAACAACTCAAAACGGAGTCGTCGAACATTTCTATACCTACGTAAAAATCAGCACGTTCGACTCGAGGTAAATTGATCAAACATAAATTGACCCACTTACACACTTTTCTTCAAACAAAACGAAATTTTCCACCACCCCCCCCCCCTCCTCCACATCTTCAGCTGCGGCAAAAGTCACGCATGATGATAATCGTAAATCAAAGAAAATGTTGATTTCAATGGCCCACGGCTACCGTCGCTCGGCTGTTACGTCGAGGTGGAACGGAGGGCCTGCCGACACCAGGGCCCTTTTTAGCCTCGGGGTTAGCCTGGGGCCCTGCTTACACGGCTCCCACGCTGTGTAATTCCATTCCTCGTCAGACAAGGGACTTTATGCATGTCCTGAAAAGGTACGGTTGCCGACTAAACCATGGAGGATCATTGTTTATGCACAGGTGCCTCGATTTTAAGAAGGGCACCTTGACAGAAATTACGTGTGATTGATAGACGTGGTAATGCTGAGTTGTGTCGTGCAATATAAGATTCGCGGTAATTGTATCGTCCGTTCTGCAAAATACCATCGTATCGTGATTATCGGTGCTTATTTTAACAATGCAAAAATGTTACTTCCTGTTGAAGTATTTCTGAAATGACGGAAGGAAAATAATGAAAGTTGGAAACAAAAAATATATTATCTGTCCAATTAGTGCCCTTGGAAAATGTTTTTTTCGGAGTAATTGGCGGCATCGTGGTCATACAACATTCATTTTACTGGGTTGTTTAATGGTTTGATTGTTGATGGTGTGACTGACAGCATCGTGATGTCCATTAGAAGCAGTACAGCTTGTACAGTTGCAATGATTAACATACTGATGGCAGGATCATGTTGCGGAGTGAACTGTTGATGAAGAACATTCATCTCTTTTCATTCCGAAGTGCTGCGAAGCACAAACACAATCCCACAGAGGGATGGTAGATACAATTGTAAAATCACACGAGGCTAATATTCGCGACAATTGTCGAGTTCAGAAATGTTATGTTACATCGTGAAAAATGGATATCGCACAACCCTTGCATTCATATTTTTCCGTCTCTCTGAATTAGCCTGGCCATGAAGCGGTCAAAGAGACGTCGTCAGTCCGTGTAGAGTGGAAACTCTTAGTCAGGAACACTGGCATGCACGCACGGACGCACGCATATTAAGGACAAGGGGGGCCTGGGAGTCGAGACACTTTCACAGCAGTGGTCTCTCTTCAACGACCCTAGAGAAGGGAGCTGTTGTCTGCTTTTTCACCAGAAAAGAATCGTGTCACCCACCAGCGTGGGGATCTACAGCAGCCCCCCCCACCCCGCCCAGTCGGCCCTACTGCCTTGACTTTTGTTCTCATGCCTCGCGCCTGGGTGCCGCTTATCACACGCCGCACAATCGACCGATCTGTAACTCGGTGTGGACGAGCGCGCGAGCTCAGAAAAAGGCTTAACACCCCCAACCGCGGAACTCCGAGCAGCCAGATTAAAGGTGAGCGCCAGCCACCTCGCCCCGCCAGGGGTTTCTGTATTTTAGCCAGATTTGGCAGATTGCCGATACCGGCATTCCGCGTTCACATTTCGTCCGGGGACCCTACTGAGTCGATAAGACATGTTAGCAATCCGGACAGAACACCGTTGACAAAAAAAGAAAATACGCATTCATTCTCTGCGCTCCCGTTTTTTCTCTTCTTCTGGTTGTCGCGTGGGTAGAGGCAGTAAAAGGTTGCCCCCGTGCGTCAAGGTCTTTCGATGCGGGGGCGACTCTTCAACGCATTTTTAATGACGGTACGCGCCGAGATTAACACAATGAAAATCGCATCAATGGCCTGCGCCTTATCTGCCCAGCGTTTCCCCGCCGCTCTCACCGAAACGCGCTCTTCCGTCACTCGCTTCAACTTTTTCCATTTCTGCATCCCTCCCCTTATCATTTGCCACGGCTTCCATTCCAGTCTGTTTGCCTCCCTAACGCTTAAACCAAGTCTCTGCCTCCTAACCACACACCAGTTCCCTCATAGCCCGTCAACTCTTTCTCTCTCTCTCTCTCTTCACGTCTTCACCTCTTCCCTTCCTTCCCGTCACTCCTCTCCTCACCCAAAACCCTTGTTTGTTCCCCAGCTATTTCCTCACCCTTTCCCATCACACCCACCCGCCCGACCGCCCGCCCGCCCGCCCATTTCAGCATCTCACCTGCGTTTGAATTTGCGATGTTGCCTCCGCAGGTCCCCCTCCATTTCGGCGCTGCCGTCTCCAAACTGACCGCCCGCTCCTCCTCCTCCTCCTCCTCCTCCTCCGGCTCCCGCACCCGCCAGCGAGCCGGAGCTGGCCCTGGTGCTGGCCCCGGAGCCCGTCACGAAGGCGGTGCGCGTGCCTCCCAACGTGGCCCCCACGCCGCCCGCCGAGCCCCGCGCGACGTTGCCCTGGGCCGTCCCGGACCCCGCCATGATGGGCCCGCCGCCGCCGCCGCCGCCGCCGCCGGACTTCCCCACCGGGCTGGAGCCAGAGGCCACGCCGCCGCCGCCGCCGCCGCCGCCGGCCACGGAGCCCGGGCCCGAGACGGTGCGGCCCACGGGGCTGGAGCCGCTGGGCGAGCGGGAGCCAGAAGCGCCGAGAGCGGTGGCGGAGCGCAGGCTGACGCCGCGCTGCAGCGTCGGGGAGCGGCCGCTGCTGCCACCGGTGCTGCCGGTCCCGCCCACCCCGGCGCCAGCTCCTGACGGGGTGGCGGGGGGGGGGGGGCGGGGAGAGAAGGGGTCCGGCGTAACCCTCGGTTCACGTCGTCTTATTTGAGCGGCGTTGCCGTCGCGTCTCCTCCGTCCGTGCGACGCGTTGGCAGGCGGGCGACGAGTGGCACAGGTGGCCCGGCTCTCCTCCTCCTCCTCCTCCGATTGCTGGAGACGCAGCGTCGCTCTGGCGGCGCGTCAGGCCGAGGACAGCGCCCGAGGGAGCTTCTCCCCGCGCACGAGCAGCTGTTGGCGACGTCGGCTGCGTCGGAGGTTTGAAATAGCGCCACGTTTGCACGCGACTGCAGTGCAATGCGCTGGCCGCAATTCACACCCTCGGCCACGAAATTACATTTTTAATTCCAATTGCACCGGCAGCGGAAAGTTACAAAGTGGCGCGTCACTTTAATTTCCACTCACGACAAGAGGCTGCTCCGCTTGTGTCCCCCAGGCTCTCAGCTAGGGTTGTCACCTGGCCTAGTTTCCCCAGGTTCGTCCTTGCTCACGCAGCGAAAGGTGACCCAGCCAACAGACTGCCTACGAGTTTTAGAAATGTATTCACTCCTTCACACTTGTGGCCATTCGCCGGCGAAAGAAATGAACACTAAGCGTGTGGCGCAGTGGATACGAAACAAAGTGAGGTCACTTGCATGGCACATTAATGCCAGTAATTTTTTAAAGAATGTATTTACCTCTTGAGCTTTTAAATTTAAAACCAAGGATGAGTCACGAATGGCTGGTTGAGTGTTGGAAAAGGGCCAGACCCTGACAGAAAATTGTAGGCCAGATCTAGAGGCTACACTAATGTAGGGGTCTATATATATAAAAATAACTCCAGTTATGGGTCCAAGAGGCTGAGATAACCAAGCACAGCCAAGGCTTAGACCTCGCTAGACAGAGGGCACAGTTTAGGATAATGGAGGTCGCATTCCCCCAGAGCCCTGACTATGAAGGGGCGCAGGACCTGGACCATACAAAGAGGATTGTGCGTGCAGAGGAGGACATTTGTGCGGTGAATTTTAAGAGGTGAAGAAGCAAAGCGGCAGAGGACATTGCAAGCAAGGAGCATGCTCAATCGATCCAGCAGGTCCGGGCGAGACTCAAGTACAGCGTACGTGTGCACGCGTGCTGGCGGGGAGAGCCGGCGGACAGAGCTGCTGGTGGTGATGTGGTGTGTCGTTGTGGTGTGTGATTGCAGTGTAGGGGAGCGGTGGCGCAGCGATTGTGGCGTTGCGCTACGGATGACCAGGAGTTCGATTGCCGCTCATAGCCAACACCCAGTGACGATTATCTGTACTGGTCCTCAAATGAGTACCTGGTGCGGTGTGTAAACATCGCCACTGGGGAGACAAATGCGGTCCGATGTGGTGCTGGCCACACCCCCCACCCCCCCCCCCCCCCCCCGTGTTCCGTTCCGGCCTTCAAAGGTGCTCACTAAAAGAAATTGCCCCAACAGTCTATTAAGGCTATACGGGGGGTCTATGTCTTTGGTTGTGCCTTCCCGGATCTGCCAAGAGCCAGAGCCAAGCACAAGGCCGGCCTCCCCGTGGCACAGTGGGACAGGGCGGTGCGGTGAGCTGCTATAACGGGGCTCAACACCAGAGCTACCGCGGTGGCAATTGGAGTTGCCCGACCTGAGGCGAGCGATTTGACAGTCGACATGAAGTCGCGCGGGCGGGGTGGGGTGGGGCGAGGTCATTTTGTGGGGAGCCACGGTGGCGAGGAGATGTTAACTCCCTCGCCCGGTATGCAGGAGGTCGTGGGTTAGATCCTGAGCCTGACACCTGCTGTATTTTTGGATATTCTTGGTTCTTTCGGTGAAGTCACGTCCCAGGGTATTTTTTCTTACCTTTTTTGTACCTCAAAAAAGGTGGCAACCCTACCAAAAGGCCCCCGTACCCCAAAAAAGGCGGCAACCCTACTAAACGATCCCCGTACCTCAAAAAAGGTGCCAACCCTACCAAAAGGCCCCCGTACCTCAAAACAGACGGCAACGCTACCAAAGCCGCCCCCCCCACCCCGCCCACCTCCCCCTTTACCACCCCCCCCCCCCCCCACCGCCGCTCACACAGGACCTGCTTGCGCTCGCGCTGCGGACAAGGGGCGCGCAAGGGTTCTCGCGGGGGCGAACGCGGTTCCCCCCACCTGAGGCGGACGCTTCGCGCGGGCGGTGCGACGAGGGCGAGCGGCTGCGCGAGCCGCACGAGCTGCTGGTGCTCCTCAGCGTGCCGTCGCCCGCGCACGGCCCCGGCGGCGCGCTGTGCATGTGCGGCAGGTAGTGAGGCTGCAGCCCGCACCCGCCTGGGGGCGAGCGACCCGCGGCGGGCGGGGCAGAGGCAGAGGCGGCGGCGGAGGCGGCGAGAGAAAGAGCGAGCGGGCGGGCGGGCGGGCGGGCGGGCGGGCGGGCGTGTGGGCGGGCGGGATGGGAAGAGACATGAAAGTCATTTTGTTTTCAGACGTCAATTCCATAAAATGAACTTCAAACTCTGTATTTTTTTTTTTATTTGACCAGGTAAGGCCCCACTGTGCTCTATAGCTTTTTTTCGGGAGTGAGCTGGCCATCACAAACGAAGGCTCGATGGAGTGGCTTAACATCGTCGCGTGGAAATGCATAGCGGCCAAGTACTCTAATCGCGTGACGTCGATTCTAAACGTGGAGGGAAAAACCGGAGGACCCGGAGAAAAATCCACGTGACCACGGGGAAAGAGAACGTGCAAACTCCAAATACATATTTTTACTTAAAACTTTGGCGACTGCAGGAATTCATATTATTGGTTCTTTCGGTAAAGTCACGTAGATAGAAATTAAAAAAAGTTAATAAAAATGCATCAATTTTTTTATTTAATTTACTTTTATTTGTTTTCTATCTACGTGACTTTACCGAAAGAACCAAGAATATCCAAAAATACAGCAGGTGTCAGGCTCAGGATCGAAGCCACGACCTCCTGCATACCAGGCGAGGGAGTTAACATCTTCTCGCCATCGTGGCGCCCCACAAAATAACCTCACCCCACCCCACACCGCCCGCGCGACTTAATGTCGACTGTCAAATCGCTCGTCAGATTGTCCAAGCTAAGGAGGGCCGAGTACGGTTTGGGAGATGGCCAGGGGCTTGCCCGGGTGTTGTCGGCATTGGGCACAGGGTTGCCACCTGTCTGGATTTTTATCCAGCCAGAATTTTCCCGCTTTTTGAGGTCGCTGCTGTCTTGGGAAAACTCTCTTCCTGGGGCATTAAAAGTTCAGTGTTTTTTTGTTGTTGTCAGTTGTGTTACAGGCTTGGAGACAATGTGTTCCCATGTCATTCTCCCCTCTTTGTGGTATTGTCAGATATTTGTCTTCCCATGATATTTCCCGGTTTTGTGTCCCTCGTTGACGTGGAAACTGTGAAGCAGCTGTGAGGTTTGGTCAGGAGACATCTGTGCCGAGCGTTACCCCCCCCGCCGAGTGCGTGCTGGTTTTACAGGGCACTCCGGTCTCGTCCCACGTGCCTAACGCTTTGTTATTGGGTCATCATCATCATCATCACGACCCATGGGCAGATAGCCCCGTAGGTGTCCACTGAACATTTCGTCCACTTTGCACTATCTCGTGCCAATATGCTCAAGTAGTGCAACATCTTTGTGGCATACTCTTTGTTTCTTTCGTTAAAGTCACGTAGGTAGAACAAAAAATAATAATAGATCACGACGTTTCGAACGCAACACAAGCAATCGTCATCAGGTGGGACAACGACAGCAAGGAGAAAAAAAACTGCCGAAGTAGACTTTACCGAAATAACCAAAGAGTATAGATTCCTGAAGTCTCGAAAGCTTCAAATCTTTGTGGCAACGATCTCTTGTGATGTCGTCGCCGTCGCCAAGACGTTCTCTGTAAGGTCTCCCCCTCTTTCCGGCTCCTTCCATTTTTTCCGAACAGCACACTTTTCATCTTCCTATTATAGTCCATCCTACACTGGTGTCAGTTTCCTTCTCATCACTGCCTGCATCATCAGGTCGTCGTGTTCTTCTTCTATGTGCAACATTTTTCTTACTCCCACGTTTGTCACTCTTTGGGTGCAGCTGAGATGCAGTATCCTTCTGGTGCTGGGTAAACACGGCCAATACCCTCCTGACAGAGAGTTTGGAGACTCCGTGAGGCTTTCCTCGGTAAATAATTGGCATTAGTATCATTATTATTATTAGTGAATGCCAGCACTGCCAGAATCAGACTCTTTATTTATACTGGAGGAATCCGATGAGCTTTGAAGCTCTTTTTCACAGATGTCCAGTATAGGCGGGGTTCAGGACGTTATAACAAACAATAACAACCGCCCGATAGGAGTGCAAAGCAACGGAAAGGTAAGCAAGTCACGAAAAATGAACAAATATAAATACATTTTGATTTAAAGCTTTCGTGGCTGCAGGGATTCATATTCTTGGTTCTTTCGGTAAAGTCACGTAGAAGGGAAACAATAAAATAATAAAAATATAAAACAATAAAATTATCACGACGTTTCGACTGCAACGCAAGCAATCATCATCAGATGTGAAAACCACAGCAAGAAAATTCGAAAAAAATAGTATAAAAGTGTAAAGGTATATAAACTCCCACCGCTTTTTGAACAACGTGTAGCTTGCACAAGGCTCGACAATTGCCAGTGTACATTATTATCAGCGAGTATAATGTTTTAATATTTTAACATCATTTATTTTAAAGTGACAAGATGCTCGGCATCGCCTAGAGTTGGGCCTGAAGGGTGGTTTTTGTTGCGACGTTCTGAGATATTCACAATTAGAAAAAAAAAGAATCACTGCACTGATGTCGAACTATTTCTCAGAATGTTTCCTGATTTTAATCACGAGGGCTACAATGATTGAAGCGACACGTGATGCATTGTGGGACCACAAGGATGCTCTTTCGTCATCAGTGGCATTCAAATCTGTGCCATGACAACTAATTTAATCTAATTACGTGATTTAAAATAGCTGTAGCGAATTCATGTTTCGCCAATGATACAGCTGAGAAACCATTCGAGTTTTACATTGAGCGACTGCTCCTCTGGATCGAGAGGAGCCCGTTGAGGTGGTTCGGGCACCCGGTAAGGATGCCCCCCGGTAGACTCCCCCTGGAACTCTACCGGGCAGCAACGTCCCACTGGGCGAAGACCCCGGGGCAGGCCCTGGACACGCTGGTGGGACGATGTCGCTCAGCTGGCCTGGGAACGCCTGGGAATTCCCCAGGAAAAGCTAGAGTCTGTGTATAGTAGTGTATAGTGTAGCATAATGTAGTCGAGTAGTGTAGTAGTGTATAGTAATGTACAGTAGTGTATAGTATAGTAGTGTAGTGGAAAGTAGTGTAGTGTATAGTGTAGTATAGTGTAGTAGTGTATAGTAATGTACAGTAGTGTATAGCAGTGTAGTGTATAGTAGTGTAGTGTATAGTAGTGTATAGTGTAGTGTATAGTGTAATAGTGTATAGTGTAGTGTATAGTAGTGTATAGTGCAGTAGTGTATTGCAGTGTAGTGTATAGTAGTGTAGTGTATAGTATAGTAGTGTATAGTGTAGTAGTGTATAGTAGTGTAGTGTATAGTTGTGTAGTATATAGTGTAGTATAGTGTAGTAGTGTATATAGTGTAGTAGTGCTGGAGTCTGTCGCCACGGAAAGGGAGGTGTGGACCGCCACTACTCAACACGCTGCTGCCGCCACCACCCTCACCAGGACGAGCAGATTACGAACATACAACATGCTATATTTCAAAGTCCTAATTTTTTCCAAATTTCATTTTCACCCCAGGTAATGCTGAAACTAATACTTATTTTTTCCATGGGTTCTAACCTCACCTTTGCCCTGCAGCCCGTTCACGTTAAACAGTCGGCAACAGAGCAAGCAGCTCTGTGATTTTGAGTATAAAAAGCTCCCGACGGGAAGTCGTGAATAATGCCGCGCGTGGCCTTTAAAAGGGAAGCAAATCATTATTAGGCGACGTTTTCAATGTCCCTCTCTTTGGCGTAACGTCAAAAATGACAATCGCGATTGAGTTCCAGGGGAGTTGTGAGAGCGTAGCAAACCCTGTTGGGAACACTGGAGGATGTACTCCTCCTCCAGCCACGAAGAGTTGCGACTGGAGAAGGATTACTCAAGGACTGGAGGATTTACTCCTCCATTCACGACGACCACGAACTCTTCCCAAAGCAGAAGTCAAATGCAAGGCGGCTGTGCAATTTCAGAAAGGTGCATCGCCACCTCTATCAGACGGATACGAAGTTGAATGCAGAACTGCTGTATAACTCAATGTCGACGTTGGATAATGGCTTCGTTAAAACAAAAGACAAGGTCGCTCCTTCTTTGCAAATTACGCACCACAACTGCTTCACTTTTATCTCTCGGCTGCATAAACAAGGCAGAGCGACTCTTACGCAGGTCAACAATTTACTTGGCTGCAGAGATGCAACGATGTGGAACGGTTTTAAAATACAATCGCCCCCAAAATGCAAAACAAAATAGCAAAATATTTTGTATTCAAACATTCCAAATCGCCGCTATGGGGAAATGCCAAAACTCCACCTCTAAATATCAGATTGTAGGTGACAGGGACAGATGTTTAAGTGACTAATTGGTGTACGGAGGAAGTGTAGCGTGTGCCAGTGGCTGGGTCTGTCACCAGTCCGGATCTCACGGGAAGCTGCGTGAACTGGCAAGGCCCACGGCCAAGATTTTGCTGCAAAAGCTAACGGCGTCCAATAACGGAGTGCATTATTACATCATTACCTTTATAATTTCGACTTAAAGCTTTCGTGACTGCAGGAATTCATATTCTTTGGGTCTTTCGGTGAAGTCACGCAGATAGAAAAGATAATAATAAAAGAATCAAAAGAAAAAATGAAGATAAAGTGAATAAAAAATAATACAAATATCACGACGTTTCAATCGCAACACAAGCGTGTGTTGCGATATTTTTGTATTTTTTTCATTATTTTGTATTAACTTTCTTTTCATTTTTTATTATTTTATTATTATTTGTTCTTCTATCTTCGTGACTTTACCGAAAGACCCAAAGAATACATTCATAATGTTTAGCCTTATTTCTAGGTTCATGAAAATTCAAATTCAGAAAAGCATTTGTTTTTAGGGATTAAGCCAAATGCAGCTGTCAAAACGCTGCCGTGGAATCATAACAACACCCCCGCTGTACAATGTTGCGTGCAACACTCATCGCTGATGGGGATTCCCGCGTGTAGTCAAGCATTGTGGTTTGAACGCACGATTGCCAAAATGAATCAATCGCAGCGCAGGGATTTCGCACACTTTCTAGTTTGCCTC